AATGCACTACAATGATTCACATAACTCATGAACCGTATACAGTTAAGTGGTTTATGAGGGAAGTAACTGGTACAGCTTGGGATTGGGATCAACTTGGAAGGAACTGGAACAACTTAGGACGCAGTCCTAGATCAGGACAGCTGCTTCCTGCCCTCTGTTGTCAGGCCCTGCGGGAGGTCTCCCTGGGCAGGTGCGATCCCCAACGCTGGTCTCTTGGTTCCTGCTGCCTTGCACTGCTATTGTTCTTGTGGCACTGCGACCTCCCACTGTCTTCTGTGCTACCGCTCTTCTCTGTCTTTCGCCATGCCTCCCTTTAAGCCTGGCAGGATGACCAAAAAAACCTCCCTAATTAGGGTTCCATACCCATTATTTGCATGGCACCACCCCTACAAGGCATTTACATTATTAGCAAGATATCCAATCCCCTTGATGGGCCACAAGCACCTCATTTACACAGCCCACCCAGTCACTAGGTGGAAGTTACAGAGACTATTGGCAGAAGAGCCGCATTCAGTAACTCACAGCACTGGCCAGGCATGGGTTTTGAGTGCTTTACAAAGGCCAATTCATTTATTCCTCACAACTACTCTATCGATTGTATCAAAACCCTTTCACCCCCCTTTCAAACATGGAACACAACCAAGACACAGAGAGGTCAAGTGCATCCTGTGAAGTCACACAGCAGATGAGTTTGTGTAACGTCCGTCCCCTGCACTGGAAGACAAGACCCATGAGGGTCAAAGCTGCATCTGTGAGCTCTCTTGTTCCCACAAGAGCCGCTGCACCCAGAACAGTGGGCTGCACACAGTGGGGTCCTAACATGCGTATAAGGGAGAGGCGAGACTCACCACGAGAGGGGGCGGGGGGAAGCTGGAGCAGTGATGGAAGTGACAGATCTCAACAGTCCACTGGAGTTGGAAGAGCTGGCCTGGAGGAGAGGCAGGGGAATTGGCAAATGCGTGATGCCTGGATGCGTTTCCACGTTGAGAGACCTCATTCAGCAGGTGAAGAAGAGCGAAGACCCAAAGCCAGGAGCCCTCCCTGCTCTGTGCTAAATCCTGTAGGCGTCTCCTTCGACACGTGGTCGGGATCCCTCTCCTCACTCCTCCCCTGCTCCCAAGCCCCCTCGGGGCTCCCTGGATTCTGGTGGCAGTCGGTCCAAGGGATCCCCGAGTCTTAATAAAGGTTCTCTATTTTACTTCTTTGGGTTCTAAGATCCATCGCGAGGGCTCTACAGAAACTCACAGACAACATTCATGATGAACAGGATTTATGAATGAGGTGAACAAGTTGTATTGCCAGTGAGACGTGCTCAGGGGAGTTGTCTATCAGGACATGCTACCGAGTTTCAGGTCTGCTGATAAATACCCAAAGGGGTGCCTCGCTCTGCTGGAAGCCTCACTCTGAAAGCACTCAGCTCACGCTCCATGGACCAGCAAGCCCAGCTCCCTGAACTAAGTGCCCAGAGGTACCCCACTCCATTAAGCCTCAGCCCCAAAGGCACTAATCTCTCTTTTGGTGGGGTCAGCAGGTCCAACTTCCCCCAAATGAGCACCCAGAGGCCCCCCTACTCCGCAAGCCACCCTCCAGCACTGAAGCTCTCAGCTCTCCTTGCTCCGAGGGTCGGGAAGTCCATCCCTGTTCCAGGCGCTGGCTCCTGGTTCTGCCGCTCTTCCTCAGAGGGTCTAGCTGTCCTCCGGATCCAGGGGCTTCACTGCGCAGGGGTCTCGGGTCCAGAGGACGCACCACTCCTGGTCCTTGCTGGTCATGAGATCCCTCCTCCTGCTTTTTTCTAAAACCGTTTTATTGGCCCTTTATCCACGTATCATGCAATTCCATAGTTCAATCCTATCAAGAAGAGTCGTGCGATCCCGCCCACAATCAATCAACGTGAGAACATTTTCTTCTTCCTTGTGCTCCTTGTTATTTGTGGAATTGTTTGTTTCCACTGTGGCAAAAATACACACAATGGAACATGCTCCCATTCAACCACGTCGACATGTATGATTTAGGGCCATTGATGATACAGCCATTGCTGTTTTCCTGATTGTTCCACCACGTGAAGGTGAACTCAGGCCCCCCCTAGCAAAAGCTCTTCCTCCTTCAGGCAGGTTTTCTGTTTAAGTCGTTTTCTTGACACAATATTCACGTGCCATCCTTCCATAGTTCAGTCGTTTTTAAAAGGACTTGTATTTACATCATCACAATGCGTCCCAATGCTCCCTCCACCTTCCCACATTCATCGATTGCGCCCCAATTCCCCTCTCCCGCCCACTCACCCCATGCCCAAGAAAACATTGGATCAGTTATTGTCGCCATGCATCCATTCCTTCTGCGCTTCACGCAGTGGGGAGCCTCACAGCAACCATTAAAAAGCAAGCGCAAAATGAGACAGAAAGAAGGAAATCATGATAGGAATGATAGAAAGATAAAAACAGAGCTGTTCTGTAGCAGGGGCTCTCCGAAGTTCACCCCGGGTCACGGTGCAGGCCTGACCCAGAAGAGGACAATCCCCGAGACTAAGGAGGAACCACCTCCTCCTGCCGGTCAAGGGCAGGGGCTTGGTCTGCAAAGGGAAGAGAGGCAGAAGAGGACAATGGTTAAATTCATGATCCACAAGCCGCCACCGCCGACTGCAGCGATGTCCTGCGGCTGATCCCGGAACTGGCTAAAGAGGAATCTATGGAAGAGCAAGTAATATTAAAGGAGAAAGATCTGCTGCAAGATGGCTTTGGAAAACAGCCCTTCTACCACTGCCTAGTGGACACTGGACCCCGGAAGGCCACAGCATTGCTGGTTTGGCCAGGTGCTATGTTACCTAGGGTCCCTGGATGGGCAAGCCCTGGTGCCTTGAGGTACTTTGTGATGAATGGTTACAGAGGCTTTGGCACTGGGTCGGAAATTCTGGAGCCTCTAAGCCAGGTGGCTGTGGAATGTCGCTGCAGCAGCAGCATGCACTTTGTGGTGGCCGAGTGGAAGGAATCATCATTATCAACGTCTACAAACACAGAGGCGCCTCTGGCCAGTCCCGCCAAGAGAGATGGAGACTGTCCGAGATCCACCAGGAGGACTTGCTAAAGATGGCGGAGAGGAGTGGGCAGGGCTGGCGTGGCAACGACAGGTTCCAGTCTAAGTAGAATAAACGCTTGGCCCTCTTGCTCTCCGGCCCTGTTGGTGGTAGAGCCGCAGAACGCACCCCACTCCAAAGCTGTCTTACCAGTGGTGTCCTCCACGAACGTTTGAAAGGCAAGAGTCGATTTTAAATAGCCATTTGGAGTCCGTTTTCCCCTTGAACATCCTTGATAAACAACAAAGCAGTGTGATCTTCACTTAGGAACAAAATTCTTGTGAGTCATTTAATTGTGTACGATGTACATATCGGCACTTAAGAGTTTCTGTTTGGATTCTTTTGTCATGAACTACCCTTTGATGTAAATATATATAGTAAGAAAGAAAACACCAACAACATTTAAAAAGCCGAAGAAGAAATTGATGTCGAGGAATACAAGGGAGAAATATTTGAGCCTAGAGCAAATTCAGGCTGGGTCAAGATAGAGGTCAACTGACCAAGTGTCTTGTTCTACCATGGTTCCGCCCACCACAATCAAGTTTACAATAATCTCTGTCTGATAGTAAAGCTATTTCGGTCCCTTGCCTGTGGCTAGAAGGGATCTGCCAGAGACAATCTGACTAGATCCTCTGCAGATGGATTTTGGGCTCCCACACTCCTCCATAGCCTTCTACAAATTGGGTGTTCACAATGTAAGCTCTGATATTTCCCCCTTCTTCCTATTTGGATTTTGTTATCATCTTTGGATCACCAAAGCAGGTGTGCTTCTCCCATGTGGACTTAGTTGACGCCTCGTTTAGATGACTGCTTGTTTGGATACAAGCCTTTAAGACCCCAGACACTATTCCAATAGATAGTCGGCACCATCTGCTTTCTTCACCACCCTTTGCTGTGGCAACTTATCTCCTGTGATCTCTTCTTGAAGGCAAGTAGAAAGCAGGGCTGTTATAAGAACAAGAAGGGCTGTTCTTGGATTGGGGCTAGACCGACCTGGGAGCCCAGAATCATCCGCTTGTCCCCGGTTATGAACGACTCTGGTTGACTGTGGCTGTCATATTGTGACAAAACCAGAAACCCAAAACAACGACAACAAACGAAACCCCCCCAAAACGGAAAACAAAGGAATCAGGGAAAAAAAATTGTCAATCGTCCCCCTAGGGCATAAAGCCATTGCATTGGTAACATCGATTTATCCAAGGACACAGAATTTCAGGAACTGCTGATAGGAGTTTATGTGAGGCTAGTCTAACTGCGAGAGCTGCCATCCATGAGCTGTTGTTGCTTTGTACAGATCGATTTCCCTCCTGCTTCCAGGAGGGCTCCTTTTATCCAGGGAAACCTGGTCACCAGTACAGGTGACTCCTACCTGCGTCATCCCTACCTTCTTACCAGACCCCTGAGGGGAAAGGTTTCATACAGTTCCTCATGTGGTGGTGACCCCCCCCAACCATAAAATTATTTTCGTTGCTACTTCATCACTGTCATTTTGCTACTGTTATGAATTGGGCGACCCCTGTGAAAGGGTCGTTCGACCCCCAAAGGGGTCTCAATCCACAGGCTGAGATCCGCTGGTTTAGGAAGTACATCACCAGGGCTTTCTTCCAGGGCACCTCTGGAGAGTAGCCAACAGCTGAGCTGTTTGTACCACCCAGACCCTCCATAGATGTCAAGGTGAAAAATGAAATGTGAAATGCCAAGAGTTACTCCCAAGTTTTTTAGTAGGATGTCTGTTAGTTCCGGTGGACTAGAGAAACATTCATAGACACCCATACCCTGTTTCCCCGAAAATAAGACAGTGTCTTATATTAATTTTTGCTCCCAAAGATGTGCTAGGTCTTATTTTCAGGGGATATCTTATTCTTCCATGAAGAAGAATACAGTACACATTTATTGTTGGAAAAAAAAAGGAAATTTATTACCTGTATATGGTATGGTAGTACCGGTATGTGTGCAAGAGCGAACTTTCTATTAAAGAGCAATTGCGCATTAAGAAAACATCCCAGAATAAGATAGGCTGGATGAACAATCTGGAGGAGAAAAAAACATGGGGGGGAAAGGAAGTGGTGTTAACAAACCCAGGGACAAGGGAATAACAAGTGATCCAAATTGGTGGTGAGAAGGGTGTGGGAGGCCTGGTAGGGCATGATCAAGAGGAATGTAACAAAGAGGAATTGCTGAAACCCTGGTGGGGACTGAGCATGACAGTGGGACAGGAGGAAAGTCCAGGGAAATATAGGAAAGAGCTGGGAGGCAAAGGGCATTTATAGAGGTCTAGATCAAGACATGTACATATGCAAATATATTTATATATGAGGATGGGGAAATAGATCTATGTGC